AAGCATAACTTAGTTAATTCGGCACTAACTTTTCTGCTACTTGCATATTTAATGTACAACTATCCAAATTTGGGTACGGGGGCGAGAAGCCAGTAGAGTCGGAGTCGAGCTCAGGCCGTGGTCAAGCAAACCATACAACTTTGCTGTTGACTCTTTGCTATCATGCTCTCAGGTAAGAAGCAAAACTACTGAAGTGCGTTCACACAAGGGAGCCGCTCCACGCCTCACCTGGCGACCCCTGTGTCACTCACCTGACAAACGGCTACGACGAGGAGAACGACACTGAGCACTCTCATTTTGACTGAGCTCTTCACAACAGACATCTAACCATGCAGACGGTATCGTTTTATACTGACTGCCAGATGTCAAACAAAATCAAGATGTGGAAAGACAAACAGCAACACAGGTGGAAATATGTTTCCTCAAAGGTGAGCAAGTCAAAGACGGTTCTATACGCGTTTGTAGCGCTGACGCATGTGACTCTTACACTGTCAGATCTGTACCGATTTTTTGTTGTCATTGTAAACGTTAGAATTCTCAGAAGCATGAATTAGGTACTGATCAATTTATCAATTATTCCGTATTGGTCGTTCAGTGCCAATGAAAAACTATCAAATTGTGTGGAATATAATAAAAAAAAATCAATGCGTAACTCGTACGACTAACTCGAAATAATAGCGTAATCACGCGCACTGACAGTAGAAATCAAGCGTACTCGTGATGAAATAACATAATTTTGCAAAAATAATGAAAAATGACGCGTTTAGATAGGATGAACCAACGCGTACTAACGTGTATTCACGTAGGAACTCGTACGCTAGTAACTCGTAATTCGTAAAAGTGTTCACTTTTATCTAGTTTGATTAACCCCTCGTTTCTTGTATCATTGCAAGAATCTCAACACACAACAGCAATCGCGTCGTTATTATAATGGGAGGCCCGATCGCAGTCTGTCTTTGAATTAAAGTGATTAAAATCGACGCATCCTAACAACAATGTTCTACCTGCAGCTTGCGGATTACACAATATGTTCTATCTGCAGAGTGCTGAATACACAATGTTCTATCTGCAGAGTGCTGAATACACAATGTTCTATCTGCAAAACGGGGTTAGGCGCAGCCCTTCACCTTTGTGTGGTTTGCAAGTAACTGGAAGACATTAAGGCCAATCTGAGCACACGGAAAGAATCGTAAAGGTCCAATGTTTAATTATTGACTGCAAAAAGTGAAGTAGAACGAGCGGTTACGGAGTAATAAGCATTCCTTTGGAGGTGTCCCGAAACCCGCGTTTTGCAGATAGAACATTGTGTAATCCGCACGCTGCACAGTGGGCGATTGGACCCCTTTTCGTGCTCATAAATCGGATTTTTCAAGGTCATAATTAAAAGTTCCGGATAGTGGATTCTTGTTTGGAAAGTGGTAAAGTATGCCAGGGAATTTTAGATTTGGCTCAAGCCGCCGCGTTCGACCAGTACAGGCATCGAAAGGCGAAAAACGGGGTAAAAACATCGGCAGTGGCAAATTTTTCATTTATTATTTTCTAGATGTTAATGTCGGTTAATGTAAACTATCAGGGACTTTGACAACGGGTTTCTTCTCCCAAAAGAAGGAACTTAAAAAGAAAATTACGACATGCGCCGCATATCAACGTTTTGGTCAGTTCTTGTGCATTTAATGTCTTTAACTATTTTTATCTCAAATTGGCGGAAAAACGCGGACGGGATTCGGGTGCCGCCAGTTACAGGACATATAAAAGTACAAGTTTTTGCCAGAAACACCGTGGAATGTTGAGGAATCTCGAATCAAAACTTCAACTTTCTATGAAATTTAGTAT